TATTGTATTCTGTGTTGTAATTGAAATCAAAGTGTATATTATTATTATTATAAATATTGCAAAAATGATAAACAAAAGAAATAGTATTTTTCAATTCACCTCATACAAGTATTGTAGTGCAATCTCTTTGTCATGAAAGTGCAACTTACAAATGTAGGGTTTTTTTTGTTACATAACTGCACTCAAAAACAAAACAATGTAAAACTTCAGAGCCTACAAGTCCACTCAGTCCTACTTCTTGTTCAGCCAATCGCTAAGACAAACAAGTTTGTTTACATTTATAGGAAATAATGCTGCCCTCTTCTTATTTACAATATCACCAGAAAGTGAGAACAGGTATTTGCATGGCACTTTTGTAGCTGGCATTGCAAGGTCTTTACGTGCTACATATGCTAAACATTTGTATGCCCCTTCATGCTTTGGCCACCATTCTAGAGGACATGCTTCCACGCTGATGATACTGGTAAAAAAATAATGTGTTAATTACATTTGTGACTGAACTCCTCGGGGGAGAATTGTATGACCCCTGCTTTGTTTTACCCACATTCTGCCATATATTTCATGTTATAGCAGTCTCGGATGATGACCCAACACATATTATTCATTTTAAGAACACTTTCACTGCAGATTTGACAAAACGCAAAGGTGGTACCAATGTGAGATTTCTAAAAATAGCTACAGCACTTCATCCATGGTGTAGGAATCTGAAGTGCCTTCCAAAATCTGAGAGGGATGAGGTTTGGAGCATGCTTTCAGAAATCTTAAAAGAGCAACACTCCGATGCGGAAACTACAGAACACGAACCACCAAAAAAGAAAATCAACTTTCGGCTGGTGGCATCTGACTCAGATAATGAAAATGAACATGCGTCAGTCCACTACTGATTGTTATCGAGCAGAACCCATCATCAGCACTGACGCATGTGGTTGAAGCATGAAGGGACATATGAATCTTTAGCACATCTGGCACGTAAACATCTTGTGACGCCGGCTACAACAGTGCCACGAGAACTGCCTGTTCTCACTTTCAAGTGACGTAAACAAGAAGTGGGCAACACTATCTCCTGCAAATGTAAACAAACTTGGTTGAGCGATTGGCTGAACAAGATGTAGGACTGAGTGGACTTGCGGGCTCTAAAATTTTACATTGTTTTATTTTTTAATGTATTTTTTGTACATAATTCTATATTTGTAAGTTCAACTTTCATGATAAAGAGATTGCACTACAGTACTTGTATTAGGTGAATTGAAAAATACTATTTTTTTTGTTTTTTTACAGTGCAAATACTTGTAATCAAAAATAATTATAAAGTGAGCGCTGTACACTTTGTATTCTGTGTTGTAATTGAAATCAATATATTTGAAAATGTAGAAAACATCCAAGAATATTTAAATAAATGGTATTCTATTATTGCTTAACAGCGCGATTAATCGTGATTTTTTTAATCACGTGATTAATTGTGATTAATTTTTTTAATTGCTTGACAGCCTTAGTATTTAGTGAATTAAGTAACTTTTTTTCTGGTACAATACTATATAATCACTCGCTGGAGGTGTAAGGGGCTGATCCTGCATACAGTTATGTACATAGTTAATTTTAGGCATGCAAGTAATCCCATTTTCAGCACTTCTAAAAATAAGATGTATTTGTATACAATATATATGCCTAAATATGACTTTTTTTGGCTTTGGATCATTTTTCGTAAGCAGGCAGTAACATGCACACAAGTTTTCTTGTGAAGTTTATGTTTTCAATTGCTTTGAGCACTTTAATTAAACTGTGAAGGGGTGTGCGGGGTGGGGCTGTGTAACTGAAGGAGAGAAAAGTGAATTGTACAAATGAAAAATCAAAAGGGCCGAAACCTGTGAGATGCTGAATGCCCCATGGGAATGAGGACACTCAGCACCAGGCCTGAAATATAAGAGAATTTCAAAATCTGTATGGTACAGGGCTCCTTCAAGTTGATTTCAACAGGAGTTGGGGGAACACAGCAAGGGGCAAAAATCAGTCCCAGTCTGTATTGTAATAAAAAAAATACAATTAAACAAATAGTGTTCAAAAAGTGCTTCAGCTGCTATATTTAGAAGCAACACAAGGCTGACATCTTAAAAATGAGTGCGATGCACAGTTGCCTTCACTTCCTTAGGATATGTGGTGAGGTTTTTTTCTTGGGTTACCACAGCAACAGTTAGAAAATAAAATGCCTTCTCTTCTTGTTTTGTTTTTACATTGAAGAACTTGGGAGACCACCATGTACTGGAACAAGAGAAGAGATTACAAAAGCCCCCTTATAACAAAAAGAACTGTGTTAAGTTCTTCCCTGAGTACAAAAGTTCACATCAATCCCTTTTCCTTGAAAACACATTGACTATTCCTAACAGCTAATAACGAATACAGAAGAGAGGTCTTGTCTGTCAGTGATATGGAATCTTTTTGTGGAGAGCCAAGGAGAAGTGGGTGGGCCTTTACCACACACTGCACTGTCTGCTGTGGTAGCAATGTGTGAAATTTTTATGTAGATTGCTGAGTTGCTTATTTGGTTTACTTTTATTTGTCAGACTTAGGCTCAATCCTGCTTTTTTACTGAGGTCAGTTTGTTGGCTATTTAGTTTGACTGGGGCAGGATCCAGTTCAATCTTAAGGGACTTGGGTATCATTAGTCCAGATTTTTAAAAAATTCAATATGATCTATAATGAAAAGTAACTTGGGGAAATATGGTTCATTTTGTGAATGTGGTTTGCTCTTTTCTCTGACTTTCTATTGTGCTGTAGAATGGATTCAACACAGCTGTGCTGATAAAGAAATTGAGTCAATAGAGTGTGGGCAGTTTATGTGTGTGTCCCTGGGAAAAGGATTAAAATTCTTCTGTTGTGTGTCTTGAAGCATCAGAATGTTTTAGTGACTTATCAGCAATTCCTACCAACAAGTTGAAAATTGAGAGGGTTTTGCTTACTCAAGGCTTCATGTAGTTTACAACGTGTCAACCATCTTTTTCACCCTTTCTTAATTTAAAGTGTTTTAAAATTCAGCAATATCTGCAATAAAGGTAAACAACAATGCAATGTGCAGTACCTTTCATATGAAAAAGCTACACAACCATCCCCACAACATTGATTCAGCTGCAATCCCCTCAGAGTAGCTATCCTCTTCCTATAGGTTTTCTGTTCCACAGCTCTGATAACTCCTTGTATCTGCCCTCTGCTTGCCTCCTCAGCTGTTGCTTTGTTGGCTGCAATCCTGGTGTGAGGAACCTTAGGAGTTTATCACATCAGCAAACCAGCTCTAATGTGCTACTGAGTACAGTAGCAGGTTAATGTGGGAACCTTAGGTCTTCCAAAGAACGTACCCCTCTCACTTCTGGCCACTGTAGGGTCCAGGGAAAGTGCCCACCCTTCCCTCACTGCAGTTCTGCTCTGTCAGAGCTGGTGAGCTGCAAGGGAGCAGAACGCCCTCGCCAAAGAGCAAAAATTCTTCATCAAGGTGCAGGTACCCCCAACCAAACACTTCGGTTTTGTGCCTTCATTTACTTTGGGTCTAGGAAGTACCACTTACTGTTCAGATTCACAGGTGTTTCAAACTAGAACAACATTCCCCCCCCCTTATAATAGGCATCTCTCTAGTTCTGGCCGATAGCTCTCTTGACTGATAGACCTTACACCCATGCTATCCAGCCCCAGCATTGATTTCTCCTCAATGAGGATCTGCTTAGGGTGGGGGTGAAGCAAACTGTACTGTATGTTTGCAAGAACGCGTGCAATGGTTTTGCAGGCTCAGTCGGGGGTGCTGCTGGCCCTTAGGGGCAAAAAGGGAAAGCCAGATTGGTGGAAAGCACGGTCACCAGCGAGCTTGCTAGGTTCCCCCCTGCTTTGCCTCTATAAGCCCGAACCACGTATGTGCTTCTAGTCTCGCTCTTTCCTCAATAGTACACCACGAGTCCAGCCTCCTGTCCTGCTTTAGCTAATATTGCGTGGGAAGTATCAGGAGGTAGCCGTGTTAGTCTGTATCTACAAAAACAACAAGGAGTCTGGTGGCACCTTAAAGACTAACAGATTTATTTGGGCATAAGCTTTCGTGAGTAAAAACCTCACTTCTCAGGAAAGCTTATGCCCAAATAAATCTGCTAGTCTTTAAGGTGCCACCAGACTCCTTGTTGTTATTGCGTGGGAAGGGGAGGCTCGATATGGCAGGCACTCATCTCCGAGCCAATCCCCCCCGGAGAGCCGCCGACACTCCTGCTGCGGAAGGCATCTCACCAGAGCAGCGGGTTCTGCCTTTAAAACCACGTGCAGGCTAGAAGCGGGCGCTGAGAGGCCGCGAATGCAGCAGCCAGAGGCTGGGGCGGGGGGGAGCTGTCTCTTCCCAGCCGCTGGGGTTGGAAGAAAAACTTCTAGGGTCAGTGGGAGGGAGAGAAATTTCTGGTCCGCTCAGTGGCTGTCTGTGAGATCACCCCGAGGCGCAGGACCCTGTCCCTGGGCTGGGACCCTGCTCGGCGTTGAGGATGGGGCGGGCGTTGGCTATGGGCTCTCAGCTGCTGCTGCGGGGAGGGAGCCTGGCAAGCGCAGCTCTGGAGGAGGCTCCGCTGGCCGGGGCTTTTCACTGACCCCTCCCCAGCGTGCCGGGATCGGCAGCGCCACCGAGCAGGAGGGAGCTGCCCCGGCCGGAGCGCGCAGAGCAGCCGCCCAGGCGGGGCGAGGGGGCAGCGCGCCCGATCGCGTTGCGATAACCCGGCCCTAGTCCCTTTGCGAGAGAAGGCAAAAGGGGGGCCCCGGCCTCTGCCTGCTGCAGGGCCGCGCGAGAGAGACAAAACTTCTCCGCTGCCCCCGAGGAGCGGCCGCCGGGAGACTCCTACCAGCCGCCCCAGCATCCCGCCCCCGCTGTCCATCCATCTCCCGCGGGATCCGGAGAGAGGAAGCCAAGGCCGGGGGAGCGGAGCCCGAGCGGAACTCGCGACCCTCCCCCGCGCGGAGTCCCGGGGCGCAGGGAGTCGGCGGGGCGGGAGGGGTGTCTGCCTGGAGGCGCCTCCTCGATCTGCTGCGTGGGGAAAGAGCCAAGGCGAAGCAAGAGCTGCGTGTGCAGGGAGTGCCCGGGATCGGACTGCAAAGGGCGCTGCCTCCTAGCCCGGGGGGCAGCTCGGGCCCCTTGGCCAAGCTGCGGCCCGGCGCCGCGCAAAGTGCAAGAAAGTCGGGAAAAGTTCCTGCCCGTCGAGGTCTCCCCGCCGTGCCGCTGCCTGCCGGGCGTGTGACACGCAGCACCGCTGCAGTGGGCGGAGGGCAGGGCTGGGACCTCCCTCCAGCGCAGGAGGAGACTCAACCCGTGCTTTTTGCGGGCTGGGTTGCATCGCACCCCCCTTGATTTGCAACTCTCCCCCCAGCCACCCTTCGGTTCCCCAGCAGCTGGAGGAGGCTGCTCCCCGTCGGGGTATGTGCGGGCAGCGGCGGGATGGCCTCGGCCGTGTTTGAGGGCACCTCTCTGGTGAACATGTACGTGAGGGGCTGCTGGGTGAACGGCATCCGGAGGCTCATCATCAGTCGGCGCGGGGACGAGGAGGAGTTCTTCGAGATCCGCACCGAGTGGTCGGACAGGAACGTTCTCTACTTGCACCGGAGCTACTCGGACCTGGGCCGCCTCTTCAAGAGGCTGCTGGACTCTTTCCCGGAGGATCGCCCCGAGCTGTCACAGTCCCCCCTGCTCCAAGGTTTGGGCAGCTTCTGGCTTCCTTCCTATTGCCTAAGACCCTGCTCCTGGCTTGGGGTGTATGTAGGTACACCCTGGAGAGGGTGGGGAGAGGTAACTTAGTTGCTGGGGAGAGTCAGGCTCTGTTGTTGCCTGTGTGGGTTTGAGTCGCTTTCCTGGAGCGATTGAAAGGCTACAGAACGAGTGGGGGAGGAAAGAGTTAAACGCCATATAACGGGCTGGATTCTCCACTGTGTAACTTTCAGCCGTGTACAGTGCCTGTGAAATACCACCTGGCTCAGTCAGACTGGTAACCCTTCATACAAGGCAGTGGAGAGAATTTGCGTCAGAGGTTTGGCCCAGATTGCTGGGAAATCGAACTCAGTCATCATGCTCCACATAGGCACAAGCCCCAAATTCGGATGCACCCTGTGGATGTAATTGCAGAGAGGGTTCTTAGAATACTGTCCCACCCCCTCTTGGTCCAAGTGATCCTAATTGACATAATCTATGTTTACTGCTCCATCCACACTGATTTAACACCTCCCCACCCCTGCCCCAGACACTTTGAGGGATGCGGGGGCTTTTTGGGGGGGAGTGGTATGCGGGAAGCACTTGTGTTGAAAATGGGAGTCTGTAGCTCTTCACAGTTGATAGAGCAGACGTACAGGGCTAATAATAGGGGGAAAAGTCCAGACTTTGTGTATATTTTCCCATGATAACATGGAAGTTTGCTGCTGCTAGCTCTCTTTAACCATCCTATGCTGAGCCCCAGTGCAGGGTGATGGAGAGTTAAATTCTGAGGCTTGATTCTCTGCTCCTTTGTACCAGTGTAGTTCTACTGACTTCAATGGAGTTACTTCTGATTCTCTCACCTGTGTGAGAAAAGACATGGTCCTTGAGGTTGGAGGTAGCATCAGAGAGTTTTCCCCAAGCTAAGGTGGTTAAAAAATCATTTTTTCTAGAGTAATTCAAAGTGAAATATGTCTTCCAGGCTCTGTCAGTCACTCAAGCCTCCTGCTTTCTTTACTCCTGCCAGGTCTCCATCTATTTGTGTTGTCATTTTGTCCTGTTAAAAATATCTGGAATATATTCTTCTTCTCCCCTGCCTGTTTCCTCCTGATTCCTCCCCTGTGCTGTATTCTAGGTTTATGGGAAATTGCTTCTCTTTCAGTTTCTGAAAATGTAGAGTTGCTCATTTTAGTTCATCTTGTTTCCCCTCCTCATCCTTTCTCAGCTGACACTGAGAGAGGAAGGCATGCTTCCTGACAGTCTTGGCACTGAGTGCCCCCTGCAGTCAACTGGGGAACCTTGCTGTGTAAAAGCTGAAAACCCTTGAGCTGGCTGCCAAGTCTAAGGCCTAATGATTTGGGCACTCAATTTAACATACTTTGGGCCCGATTTTCAGTGGTGCTGAGCACCTATAGGCCCTATTGACTTGAGTTGGAGCTGTGAGTACTCAACACCTCTAAAAACCAGGCCCTAGTTGTATCAAGTGAGGCCCTTCAAATCAGTGACCACTCTTGCAAAATATTAGGCCTTAATTACATGTTTCAGAGGCCCCATTTGTGCTTTTTCACTCACACTGGAATGCTGATGCCCCTACTTGATCGTCCCACGTAGCATGAACTATAACTTTTGAATAGTCAGGGAAGAGTAAACCTCCTTAGCACATTAGGAGATTTAATTTCTGTGCAAGGCCTAGGTCCTGCAGCCCTCACTTCTGTGAGTAATCTTTCCCAGATAAATTGTCATCCTGATTTCAGTAGGCTTCCACAGTGAATGACGTGCATGAGGAGGGGGTGGAAGAATTAAGCCCTAATACTACAGTCATTGGGAGCTTCTATCTCCCTACATTATTTTTAATGCTGACAATTCTATGACTTGGGGGGTTAAGATATTTTAAATCTCAAGAACTGTACTTTCTTTGGCAAATGATGGAAACTATTTACAGTGAAACGTGAATGTGATGGAATCAAAGTCCTGAATTGTTTCTGAGTATTTGCAGTATGTAGCTGATAATTCCAGTTACAGTGAACCCACTTCTTAAAATGAAATTCTGTGAAAAATGACTTTGCGGTAATGAGGTATCACTGCATTTCTCTGTACAGTCTGTATTTCATATTTATTCACCAGAACTTGTGCATGTCTGGCCACACATACAGTCAAATCTTCTTTAAATGATGCTTTGGATATAAGCAGGGGATTTTATAATGTGTTTGGTACACATAGGGGGTATGACCCCATTTTAGATACACTTTTTGGATCTCAGGTTTCTGCATGTAGCATTTTAAAGAAGAATCACTTTTTCCATAAATTTCAATATACTTAACCCAGTAGAAAGTCACACCGTTTCTAGGCATTAGCACTGAGTCAGATACATTGTTGATCCTAGCTTTTCTAAAAGTGCCAGGCAGAGTATTATTTGCATCTTTAATCTTTATGGAAGCAGTGAAAGCATTGTTAGTCAAATTTGCATTGCATAGCAGGAATTGGAAGTACTTCTGGTTACCGTAGATACATTTAAGTAGCATCAGAAGAATTAGATTATCCTATCATTTATATACACTTTGTCAAACTACGTTATATAAAAGTTAAGGGATATTTTCAAGTAGCAGACACCTAAAATTTGAGCTAAAATAGTTTGATCTTAAAAATGGTTATTAATTTGTAGGCTTAAAAAAATGTCCACTTTTCAGTTGCAGAAATTTTAGAAAGAGATGGTAGACCACTCCTTTTGTGGGACTATAAATACTTGTGGGTTCAAAACAAAGCTAACATTCTGTGCTGGTATGTTCCTTGTTGCGCAGTAACAGCAAATTTTAGTGACACCCTCCCTCCCCCCCCTCCCAAATCCACTATTTCCAGAACTGTACAGCATTAATGATGCTTATGCAAAAATAAGGTAATGGGAAAAAAACAGACCCATATTGGCCACTGTTGCACTAGGAATACTAAAAAAAGAGGTGGGGAGAATAATGGAGAAATACATATTTTAAATCTTTAAGAGGGAATTGCAAGCTAATTGTGGCTTGTTTTGAGATTGGAGTTCTGCAGCTCAGGGCTTGTCCACACTTACAGATCTGCAGCAGCACAGGTGGAGCTGCCCTGCTGTAGCGCTTAGTGAAGTCGCTGCCTATGCTGATGGGAGAGCTTCTCCCGTTGGCATAGGCACTCCACTTCCTCAAGAGGTGGTAGCTATATTGACAGGAAAATCCACACCCCTGAGCAACGTAGTTATACTGACACAAATTTGAAGTGTAGCCCAAGGCTCAGTGTTTTGCCTTCTGAAGTTTGTTACATGTAAATCTATTTCAGTCTGAAGAAATATCATTGACCCTTGCAAAGGGCATCTGTGCAAATGAACTGACCTGGTATAAATGCATGCTTCTATACTGCAACAAGGATTCCCTAGAAAGTCTTGATCATGTGCTTGGTACCACGGTACATGCTGTTGGGAGGTCTCCTCTCATTGGGGGGTCAGGCTATAATATTACACCAAACCTGCTTTTCATTATGAACTTTGCAGCATTTGGACCTGCAAACCCCCTATTTCATGTGAGCAGACATTCATTATGCAGATAGTTCCATTGAAGTCAGTTGGTTTCTTTATAAGAGTAAGAACTATTTGCATAAGTATTTTAAGGCTTGAGCCCTGTGCTAATACCCATACTGAAGGAATTAAGTCACTGCATTAAACTAAGATCACTATAAGTTTCTATAAACTTAGGCCTGGTCCACACTAACCCCCCAATTCGAACTAAGGTACGCAAATTCAGCTACGTTAATAACGTAGCTGAATTCGACATACCTTAGTTCGAACTTACCGCGGTTCAGACGCGGTCCACACGCGGCAGGCAGGCTCCCCGTCGACTCCACGGTACTCCTCTCGCTGAGCTGGAGTACCGCAGTCGACGGCGAGCACTTCCTGGTTCGACTTATCGCGTCCAGACCAGACGCGATAAGTCGAACCCGGAACTTCGATCCCCAGCCGCCGAACTAGCGGCTGGGTGTAGACCAGCCCTTAGAGTCCTCTTGCAGGATCCTGAGCCCTTCCTAGTGGTGCTCAAGGCCCTGAGCTGCTGTATTCATATACCTTAACTTTTCCAGTGACTTTGTGCCCTAATGGGGGTGGGTACCAGCACACCCAGCAAAAATTCTGACTGAAAAAGCAAATAGAGAGTAGTATTAATTTGTATTCCTTTAGACCAGAGTTTCCATGAAAACATAAATGTTCCTGCCACTTTAATGTGAATGGAGGGTTATCAGAATCTTGCAAAGATCAGACTTTATGAGCCATGTTGTACCCGTAGGTGGTGTGGTATCTGCATAGGAAGCAGGGAATTTAATCAGATTCCTCTCATGCAGTTTCGTCTGTATTCTTCTGTTGTGTGGAAGACAGGGGGATGGTTCTCCTCCATCAACAGAAGTAAGGCAGGGTCTGGTCCATAAGGCTCACAAGATCCACCAAGGGCACAAGACCATCTACATCAGGGATTCTCAAACTGGGTGTCAGGACCCCTCAGGGGGTCACGAGGTTATTACATTGGGGGGTCGCGAGCTGTCAGCCTCTACCCCAAACCCTGCTTTGCCTCCAGCATTTATAATGGTGTTAAATATATTAAAAAGTGTTTTTAATTGATAAGGGGGGTCGCACTCAGAGGCTTGCTATGTGAAAGGGGTCACCAGTACAAAAGTTTGAGAACCACTGATTACATGTTCCAGTGGAATTGCATTGGCATGGTCTCCCCTGATTACAACTGTGCCAGGACAGGGGCATTCTCACCAGAGGGATTAGAGGGTGTATCACATTTTATTAGCCGCCAGCTTTATTTCATTTCACATGCCCTGGTAGTTCCAGAGAAAGTGTGTGCAGGGAGGGAGAGGAATGCTGCTATGGAGATAGCTGATCACCTCCCCCTTTCTATATAGGGAGTGGGGAGGGTATCAATCTCGTACAATCTGTACTATAGTACAAGTAGTATACACAGTATAAGCAATAAGACTTCATGGGAAAGTATA